AACTGACCAGGCTTAGGTTCTGGAAAAAATCTCCTAACAGCTATGGTCAAGGGCTACCATGTTGATGCCGTCTATAGGTCCTTCAAGACAAGTCCTTCAAGTTCTGCAACAAAGAAAAAATAGCTGGGCACTGTGGCAGGTGCCTGTAATCACAACTACTCAAGTGGCTGAGGCAAGAAAATCGCCTAAGTCCAAGAGGTAGAGGTTGCTGTGAGCTGTGACGCTATAGCACTCTACTGAGGATGACAAAGTGAGACTCTATCTCAAAAAGAAAAAAGAAAAGAAAGAAAGAAATTACACTTTTCATCAAGAAATAAATTACACTTTTCATCTATATTCAGTAAAAAGATTGAGTTCCCAAGGCAAACACAGCTGGGTTTTAATCCCACTCTGCCACTTAGTGGCTGTGTATTCTTGAGCAGGTTATTCAAATAAGTCTGAGGCCTCAGCTTCTTTTCTGTGTGATAAAAATAATGATACTCAGCTCACAGGGTTTTGGTAATAAATAAAGAAGATGATGTGGCTCGGCGCCTATAGCTCAACCAGCTAAGGCGCCAGCCACGTACACCTAAGGTGGCGGGTTTGAATCCCCAGCCCGGACCCGCCAAACAACAATGACAGCTGCAACCAAAAAAAATAGCCGGGCACTGTCGGGGCGCCTGTGGTGGGCGCCTGTGGTCCCAGCTACTTGGGAGGCAGAGGCAGGAGACTCTCTTGAGCCCAGGAGTTGGAGGTTGCTGTGAGCTGTAATGCCAAGGCACTCTATCCAGGGGGACAGCTTGAGGCTCTGTCTCAAAAAAAAAAAGAAGATGATGTGCCTGCCCATTTCTAATAATCCTCCCAGCACAACGAGATACAGCCAAGTCAAAATGGCATTTCCAAGCCTCGAAAGAAAGCCATCTAGCATCCTGATAAGCCACCATTTAGCATGAGTTAATTGTTGCATTTTCTTCTTAGAATTTAATCTCAGTTTTTTTCTGGCTAATGTGTGAAAATATTTGAGATCGTTCCTATAAATGAGGAAGCCGAGGTAAACTGAGGTCAAAGCCAAATCTTGAATCTGAATCTAACTATCCAAAAACAGTACTGTAGAAAATTAAACTGGGTTAGCAAGAGACCAGGGTTATGCAGTAAGAGCTCCTATCGTCCTAGCAACCTTTTAACCAAACACTGGTGCAGATTTGTTGGCATTCATGACGCTGAGAACATCTGGCCTTTCTATTATCCTCTCCCAAGCAAAAAATGATGTCGTGTAAACTGATCTGCAGGCCAATTATATGGTCTAAGTGTTATTAGTGTGTTTGTGTTGGCGCCTCGGGCCCCAGATTTTAAGAACTTAATTTGTAGCCCCACCCCTCTTATGAAGACCGTGGGTCTTACTGTAAATTACCCCAGGGATTTGTTTATGCAGAGTCTGTACCTTTTTCAGAAAGATAAGTACATGTAAATACATCACTGAGAAACCCTATGCACAGAGCACTGTGGGAGGCCCTGTAAGAAGTGAGTTACAGGAGCTACGTGGCAATGGGAGGAGGGGAGAGGGGCTATAAGGCAGCCAGCTCCAGGGCTGCTTTGGACACATTCAATGCTACATTTTTTCCTATCTGCCAATTTTATTATAGAAGCCAGGTGTGGAATATAGACGCTCTAATCTCAGCTCACTCAGAAGTTATAAGCTAGGAGTCTGAATACCTGATGCTACCTCCACATGGCCTTTCCACCATAGACACGGTCATCATACATCTGATCATCAGATAGCATTAGAATCTGCTTCATTTACCAAACATGACGTGCCAGGCACGGTCCCAAGCCCTTCACAACACTGCTTAGGTGAATCCTCTTAATGCCTGTGAATGCCAGGTGCTGTGATTACCCCACCCACGTCACACTGTGGAGAGTGAGGCAGAGGCTGTGAACCCGGCCCCTCCCCTCTGGCTGTTTAACAAGAACTCTGGGCCTTTGTGCTCAGCTCTAATGGCCTGAAGGTCTGTAATGAACCACCCCATGACTCTAGAATAGACCACCCGTGGGGTGTTACTGCCCATAGGAAGTGGGGTTCCTTGGCTCTTCCCCACCCCATCCTGCCCCCATTCCCCTGCTGCTCTGGACAAAACCGTGGCCCCAGCTAGAGGGGCTGCCCTAGAGAGGTCGCCCTTCCCACCTCACTCCCACCTCTAGCCCTCTCCCATCCCATCTTCTCAGACCTCTTTGAAAACATTCGGGAGTCCTAACATGAGTTATGAACAGACATAGTGGTAGCAAAAGGCTGGTAGCTCCTGATTTTGTCTCTGGATAAAACAACCTCTGGTATGGTGGAGAATAGTAGAGTCACAATTGCGGGAAATAAGTAAATGGGCTTCTGCATGAATTAGTCTCCTCTCTTGCCCCAGCCCTGTGGCCAGCTCTAGCGAAATCTGAAGCCAGACAGGGACTTGACCCCCTACACCAGCAGCTCTTTCCCCAGGATCAGAATTTTCCTTTACCTTTAAAGGAGATGAGTCTTTTGAGCCTCCCAGTCTGACTTAGCATGTTTAGGAAGGAAGGGCAGAATAGATAGCACAGTAAATCCCAGTTCTGAGTTGTCCTCACAGGAATTCATCCCACATGGCAATCATTAGGACCCTCACATTTAAAGGGAAGAGCTTTGTGCAGAATCGTAAATAAACTGTAACCAAGGCTTAGATTTATAAATCTATAAAAGAGGGCTGCTTGGACAACCAGGAATGTATAGTACTGGGTTACAAAATCAGCGTAATGGGCGGGGGCTGGGAGCTCTGGGCAGTGCAACAAGGCAGTAACTTGTGTCTGCAGTTAGTGGACCCCCGGGCAGAACCTAAGGAGGTTAGCGCCTGTTTAATCACACGAAATGCAAGCTCGGAGAAACCAGGCTACTGGCATCTACACACAGCACTATACTCCTAAACAATCGCAGTCCAGCCAAGCTTGGCCCGTCCTCACCAAGATTCTCTCTGGCTAATGCCGTGTCTTGTGAAGGAATTTTCAGTTTATTGCTAATGTTGTCCTAAGCCCCTGCTTTGTCCCAAGCGGCCTTAAATGACTTTTGACAGAGTCCCTACCATGCAGAGCACCCCATGAGGTTTTGGGTTGCAGAGCACCCCATGAGGTTTTGGGTTGCAGAGCAGCAAAGTGAAAAACAGGCCACACCCTTCCAGAACTTTCTCATCTGGTCAGGAAACAAGGCATTTGTACCTAAGACAATCACGATATGTGGGCTGCGGTGTGGCCGTAAACTGTAACTAGAAAACTCAAAAACGCAAAGGGAAGTGAAGGCTGGAGTCATCAAGGGAGGACGTGTGGAAGAAAAGGGGCTTGTTTCTGACTTGAAGGCAGAGTGGCGCTGGCCACAGGTGAGGGAAGGTTTCTGGGCCTCCCTGGGCCCCACAAGCTGGCTTATCCCTGCTGTGACTCACCCTGAGCCGGTCTTAGCCAGCACACCCTTGTGTTTCCCTGTTGTCATGGAGGCAGCCTCCTTGAATTCCTCATCTCGCCATCTTCATTCCCCCCAGGCTCATGGAAGGTGAAACGCTGGGCTCTCTGAACACATCCCCTGTGGGTTGGACACCGCAGGATGAGTGTCTATCCTGGAGCATGAGGCCTGGGACATCCATATGCCCCAACCACAGGCCCAGCATGGCACTGTGTCTATCACTGGATTCAAACTAGCAGAAGGGGAAAGGAAGGGGGCATCCCCAGAGAGGTGTGATGCCACCTCAGCATCCGTGGAGAGGGGTTCTGCAAGCATCCAGGGCAACGCCAAGAGGGAGGGCCACTCTCTGGGCCCAGGCAGGGCAGGAAGAGGGTCTTACAGGCAAAGTGAAGGGCAGTCACCCCCAGCCGGGGACCACAGTGAGCAGGAGAGCCCCTTCTCCCTCCTTGTAGAGCTGAGCATTGCATGGAGGCTCCTGAGTGCCAGCAGAAATGAGGATGTGCCTGCGGCTCTAAGGGCGGAGGGGGAGGCAGCCAGGAGAGACAGGGCTCCTGGGGGCTGCAGACTCTCACTTTCAAGGGCTTCCCGGTGTCTACTCTGCACTGCCCATTTGAGTCCCTGGGAAGGATGAGGGAAAGCAGAATTCAGGACATATACCTGCCTGGCAATAAAGTATCTCCATATTGTATTTCTGAAGAACCTAAGAGTGCCTGGGCAGGTGCAGCCCCATCCAGAAGAAGGAATCCCGTAACCAGACCAGAGCAGGGCAACTGTTCATTAGTTACTAGTGCTTCGGGGAAGGCAGGGCACAGATAGGAATTGCTGGCTTTTGTGCAGCAATAGGGATGGCTCTATCCCTCACTGACTACCCAGCACCAGCAGCTGAGGGGAGCACAAGGGCCAAGGGGAAGCGAATTGCCAGGGACTCTGAAGACCACCCCTATTTGCCACATTCGTGACAACTCACATCCCAGATTAATTGCACACCCCTGAGTGACATAGGAAAAGCACACGTTAACATTTTGCTACTTCCAGTAGGATAACTGGAAAGTTAAATCAATCAAAATAAGTTGCTTTGGTTTATAAAATGTGGGTACTCTTCTTTAGAAGGAGTGGAGCAGGAAGAATAGTTCTAGAGCCGTTCTCAACCTGTGGGTCACAACCGCTTTGTAACAATGAAAATACATCACAGCATTAGGAAGGTTGAGAACCACTGTTCTAGAGTATTTGGGGTTAGAATTATCAACCCCACCTCCCCCAAGTTGCGTGGCCTTAAGAAAGTGACTTAGCTTTTCTGAGCCTTGATTTCTTCATCTCCTCTCCCTTGAGGCAGAGAGGGAAGGGAAGAGCTTTGTGCAGAATCCCTCCAGGAAAAAATGAATTTTAACAAATTATTTTGCAACACAGTCCGCCTAGATAAGGAATCAGGAGCTAATCTGTTGTCGAGTTCTACTATATGTCAGCAGAGCGTTGTCACCAACAGTTGTCTGTTTTCAAGCCGCCCAACCCAAGGCCACCTACTAACATTTGCTTCTCTCTGGTTCTATTCTAGGGACGTTGTATCAACTTCACCAGAGTCAAGAACAACCAGCCAGCCAAGTA